AAATTATTATATTTTTGTTTCATTACAATAAAAATTATAAGTTTGGAAACAATCCCATATTTTGCTGTATTCATGCAAAACTTGTAGATGATGTATTAATATATAATTAACATATACCTGTGTGCATATGTACTGCTGTAGCTACAAAGCTGTATATTGATCCTAAGATTAGTTAAAAATAACGCATCGTTATCTACGTTTTAGGCCTATATATAGAGTAATTATATACACTATATTTAAAATTATTCAATATCTCAATTACAGAAATTTCATAATGTTTCATATAGACCTACATGTAATTTATAAATGACATTTATGTACAAATGCACGTGATATAACGTGATGTAAGAATTGTCAAATAAAATGACAGTAAGCATAAAGTATTATTATGATATTATGCATACGTTCCGAGATAATAATAAGTTATTTTACTAGAATAACGAGAATTATATACAGATTAAAATCAAATTTATTACTCCTGCCTGTAAGTGATATGTAATAATGATAATAGAAATATATAAAAATGCAAATATTAATGCTAAATTTTCATTCAAAACTCAAAAAGCCTATGTATTATTCGTATCAACTAGAAACTTAGAATACATTCGAGATAAAACGTCCATTACAGTACTTAAAAGAAAATCTAATGTATACATGAGATTTTCTTTTTACAAAATAAGATTATATTAAGGATTATCCTCGTTCATCCTTTTTAAACAGTTTTTTATTGTTGTTATATATAACGATGTACTGTATTGTAAAATCATTTAAGTTTTCTTTTATGGCATATTAAGTGAACAAAAACTAAAATAATTAAAGAAGCTTTAATATAAGCTCTATAGTTATTTTTAATCTATAGATATATAGGCCTATATGTGTATAGTAGAATGTTTGTAAAGCAGATTTATGTTCTCTATTCATTTCTAAACCCTTTGACCTTTTCGGACGAAATTTTTCAGAATTATTCTCTAGGATTTTGTAGAAAATATAGGCTTACGTGAAACCTGGACATCCTCTGATTTCATTCGCTCAACAGTTTGTGATAATTTAAGTTTAACGCATTATTATATAAATAAGCATGCGTATAATTAATGAAGGCACTACACGGTCTATGAATAATTTGTAGCGATGTCTTCAACAAGTATAACGTCTTCTCCTGGATTTGGAAGTTTCTCTAAAATAAAACTGTTGATTTAATTGGCCTAAAATAATCAAATTTTTAATACGGATTTAATTTTAATGTTTGCCTTTTATTACTTTTTAGTATCTGCTAGTAACATTTAAAATTCGAAAAACCATTTAAAATATAATTTAAATGCATAAGATTGTCAACAAAAAAATTACTGAAAACAATGTATCTAAATATGTCGAATAAATAACATATTCTGTGCTGCATTGAATAATTTAGTAATTTTCTATTATATTGTCTTACTTTAATGATTTTCTGAATTATTTGAAAATCGTTGAAAAGAAACTTTTCAGTAATTTCTAAATCATTCAGAAAATCGTTATCACGAAATCATTATCATAATCAAATCATCAAAATTCTGAAATCCTGCTGTGAGAATAATTATGACAATGAGAACAGTTTCATAAGGTATTACTGAAGTTCTTCTCACAATATTTTCTTTAAGAATTTTAAATTTATAAACAAACTTTACTTTTATATCTTTAACAGTAGTAATCGTTATTATGTCTCGTTTTCATGAAAAATTTAGATTTCTGTCTTATCTGTATGTATATTGATAAGCCAAATTGTTTTTAATAAGATTTTGAGAAGAAGATTTAAAGTCAAGTTCCTTTCGTTGAATAACTAAGCGAAAATTGCTAACAGAAGAATGCCCTTCTCGATAAACTGAATGCAACTTGTCTTTCTTTCGATCTCGGTTTCAACGCGTTATATATCCTTCGAATTTACTTTGAATTCTTCCTTTCTTTTTATCTATTCTTTCAACTTAGGTGAGTCATTTTCTTTCATTGTGTCATCTATCTTTTATTCCAACTTCTTCGGCTATCTATCTTCTAGTCTATCTATGCTTTCAGTTTCTTAACTGGCTGGTATCTTCGGCTCACATTTTTGTCAACAGGTTAACCATCTAACGCTATCTTTATCCATTTTTGTTTAAATACTCAATAATTTTTCTTTCTGCTCATCAGTGGCATCAATCATTCGATGTGAGACTAAAAAATTTTCCTATCAATCAATTTTCTTAAAATATTATTATACGATAACAACATAAAAATTTTATATTTGTCTTGTGAATATATAACCAATAATATTTTTATATTTATCACTTATTTCTATTACTCTATATTCAAAATAATAAAGAAATAATGAAAAAATAAACGCATATAAAATAATAAGGGAATTATTTTAATTATTTCTCTGAATCGAAATAATTTAATTAATTTTATTTAAAAACCAAAATGTCAACATTTTTATAGATGATAATAAATTAATAATAAATTTCTTATATTATATCTTGTTAATAATAATTAGTATCGAAATTTATTAAAATTGGACTACGTATAAATAAAANATTGTAAAGCAACACGATTGTTCATTATAGAATCGCCTGCAGAGTTTTCTTACCATTTTTATTGTCTTCGACTTGATTCTTTTTATTAACACGGATAAAGTATTTAAAAAAATATATAGTGTTGGCTCGCTTCCTCTATAACGAATGAAAATTTAATCGTTCGTGACATTTTAATGATGAAAAGTAAAGATTTGTTTCTGTTCCTGCAAGCAATACTCATCGTTCAATATTTGAAAACGTATAACAATTCTTTATGATTCATTAATACACGATCAAACGATCGATTAATCAATTACTCGAATAATTTAATAATTTTTAAATAATATATTATGACAATTTAATATTAAATTATTTTTATTATCTGCTTATGATAATACATAGGAATAAAATAGCTTTTATTCTTCTTCTTCAAACTCAATTTCTGTCATTCGATCTACTATTAATAAAATTTTCTTTATCTCATTTGATCATTGCATTTTTCCAGCTTATATCTTTTGACTAATAAGATCTACTTTATCTCATTTGATAATACTATTTTTTTCCACGTCTTTCTTTAGCATAATTTTAAATATAATTTCTAAATGAAATCGCATTACCAAATATGTCTTAAAAAATAAAAAATTCTATTCTTTACTTCTAATTATAGATTTATGTAAAATTTTTCAATATTTCAGAGAATTTATTACTTGTAGGCCTATATGTGTATAGTAGAATGTTTGTAAAGCAGATTTATGTTCTCTATTCATTTCTAAACCCTTTGACCTTTTCGGACGAAATTTTTCAGAATTATTCTCTAGGATTTTGTAGAAAATATAGGCTTACGTGAAACCTGGACATCCTCTGATTTCATTCGCTCAACAGTTTGTGATAATTTAAGTTTAACGCATTATTATATAAATAAGCATGCGTATAATTAATGAAGGCACTACACGGTCTATGAATAATTTGTAGCGATGTCTTCAACAAGTATAACGTCTTCTCCTGGATTTGGAAGTTTCTCTAAAATAAAACTGTTGATTTAATTGGCCTAAAATAATCAAATTTTTAATACGGATTTAATTTTAATGTTTGCCTTTTATTACTTTTTAGTATCTGCTAGTAACATTTAAAATTCGAAAAACCATTTAAACTATAANATAAATTTTAATATATAATTACAGTACAACGGTAAAATTGCTTTATTTTCTAAACGTTTTCAGCAGAATAAATGTAACGATTCATAAATAATGCAAGTAGCGTTGAAGACATTTTCAATAACAAAATAGCATATTTTTGTGAAATTATGGTAATAATAAGGATTTTAACGAAAAAAAATAGTGTTAAATATTTTTTATTCATTTATAATTGAAAAAATAAATATTTCTATCTATATATTGTTAAAATAACTCACAAATACTTCAATTTTTTATATTAAATGTTGTTGAAATTTATTTCGTTTTCTTGCAAAAGAGTTATAATTTAATTTACTGAAATGAAAAATCGTTCTTGTAATCCTATTTACAAAACATTAACAATTAGTTAAGCCCAACGTTCAGAAACAGAAGTTTTTTTTTAGTTTATAAACAGTTACTTTGTATATTTTACCTGTCTGAAAGAAATTAGCAAGTTAATTTTCTCTTATTTTCTAAAAGTGCACAGTATTTTTAAGAAAATTGATCAGTCTTTTGGACAGTATAAAGAAGCAGGTCTTAATAGGAATTTAATCCCACGACCTTAGTCCTTTGTCTTTTACTACACAATTATGCTATTGTAATTACCAAGTGACGATAGTACAAGCTTAAATTTAGAATAGCCTACAGCTTAAACATAACTATAGTTAATAAACAAGAAATAAAAAATAAATTTAGTTAATCAGATATGAAAGATTCACTAATGATTTCCAGTATCAAATTAGTAACAACCTAATTTTCATATAATTCGCCTCATGGAAATTCTTCAAAACAAATGAAAACAAAAAGTAAGAGAAAAAATTACTATAAACGAGATCAAATTAAAAATATTGATTGCGTAGGATTACTTTAAAGAATGCTTCCAAGTTTTGTGTAGAATATAAAAAAAGATGATTTAGTAGAATAATCACTAGTTTATCACGAGTTAATGGACGATGACCATACAAATGTGAAGTTTTAACAGGGATTTAATATTCTTGTCACTAAAGAGTAATTTTCTTAATTAAATTCAATTAAAACTTTATCGTTATATAAAATAAAACAAGAATTAAATTATCTTAATGCCAGAATAATTTGCAAAATTTAAGAATTTTTGGTCACAACTTCTATTTAATTTCAAATTTATTCAGTAATTTCTCTTCCCAGTTATAATTTGCATTTGGTAATTTTCTTTCTTCCGATACCAGGAATTATTGAAGAAGCCAACTTAATTCGATTTGTACTCTTATTTTTAGTAACATTTTTATCTAGTGAATGGGAAGAGAGATTCAATTTTATATGATTTTTATAGGAAAACCATCCCCTGCTGTTCTATGGTGGCGAGGTTCGACTATTCTAGATGACAGCTACTACGTCATGGAAGACGGAATTGTTAGAAATGAAGTGACGATTCCAAATTTCCAACGGAATGATTTGATGACAATTCTTACATGTCAAGCTACCAATAACAATGTTACTGCTCCCGTATCAACATCCGTTACCGTCGACCTTAACTGTGAGTTTATAGTCATTGAATTTCTTTGAATTGCTTTATGTACTAGTCTTTTAAAGCTGTTGGCACAAACCAATGTTATTCAAATATTTTTACATATAATTCTAAACTTCAATAGCTTCTTTTATGGTTTTACTCATTGAAATAAAGTTAAAAATTTTTGATTCGTGTCCTACTTTTCACATCTATCTTGCTTGGAAAATAGAAAAACAGGACTGAAAAACTTGAAATTAATTGCATTTAACCAGTAGTATAAAATGTTCTTTCTTTATGCCAGTGAAGCCGTTGGATGTTCATATCACAACAACACAGGCACCTCTCTCAGCGAATGTCAAAGTGGAGATAGAATGTGTATCAAGTGGTGGAAGGCCTCCCGCTCGCATCACTTGGCATAAAGACAACGAAGAATTGAAAAACGTGACAGAAAAGATTTCCGCCGATGGCAACATCACTACCAGCATTCTTAAATTTTGGCCATCTGGAGAAGATAATGGCAGATATCTATCCTGTCGATCTGATAATCCTTTATTACCAGACAGTGCCTTAGAAGACGGCTGGATTCTTAACATCTCTTGTAGGTAACTTAACATCTCTTATAGGTAAATTTATTAAATAAATTATAGTATTAACAAAACTACTAGACTACTTTTATTTATCTATGAGAATGCTATTAACAATACAGATTAGCTTATTTTACATTTACATATATAAAATTTATACAACTAGAATAGAAAAAAAAACTAATTTAAGCAGCTTTTCCAAAACAATTTTAATAGTAAATGATCTTGTTATACCTTCGTAAATATGCAAGTATTGAGGCAATAAATGACATTGTTATTCTATTAGCTTTCATCTGTTGGCTTTAATGACTTTCCAGATTTAGTGATTGATATTTTTTATTTCCTTTGTAACATTCTATCAATTTGTTTCGAGTAATTTTCGTTTTTTCCATCGATAAACCGAGATAAAAGTATCTGCATAATATATTAGCTAGACATTAAACTATTGCTCAAACATCTTTTTCCAGATGTACCGCGAGTCACTTTAGATCGAAGTGGAAGCGACATCCAGCATTCTGTACGAGAAGGAAGCGACGTATATTTTCATTGCAATATCAATTCAAATCCACCATTTACTAAAATTGGATGGCAATTTGAAGGTCGACCACTGTTTCATAATCCACCAGCCGGGGTCATCATTAACAATCAATCATTGGTGATGCAGAAAGTCAGAAGAGCAAATAAAGGCAGGTTCCGTTGTTATGCCGTCAATTCTGAAGGAATGGGGGAAAGTTCGGATGTTAGCCTTCTTATTGATCGTAAGTAATTTGTTTAATTTACTTAATTCTTTTTCTCTCGATGCTCCAATAATGATATCATAATTTTTTTTAAACAGTCATTATTGGAAAATTTTACTTGAACTTATAATGAAGTAAACTTAAAGATTTCTCTAGTGTTTATTTAGTTTCTTATTTCTTTATTTTGAATTATTTTTTTATTTCTTATATATTCAACAATATGGTTTCCGTTATAAAATACATTATTTATTTTTTATATAAATAGTAAACAAAATTTTTGATAGATAATCAAAATTTTTTCTATAATAAAGGCGTGTCTGAAACATCAAAAAATTTCAACAAAAGAGCGATCAATTCTTATGATGTTTTTCTCTCTTCTTTTTCCCTTTTTTTATAAAAATCTTTGGCGTTCACTTTAGTTTATTTACTATTTCAGATACTCCGGTTTGTGCACCGGGTCAGAAAATTGTATATGGTGTAGCCAAAGACGAAACAGCTCGTGTAGAATGCGAAGTTCAAGCAGAGCCTCCAGAAGTATCATTCCATTGGGTTTTCAACAATTCTTTTGATAAACATAACATTCGAACGTTCAGTAATGACGGATTAAAAAGCTTAGCAACTCATACACCGAGAAGCATAAATGACTACGGGACATTATATTGTTACGCTAAAAATAGCATTGGAAAACAAACAGAACCTTGCATTTTTTCGATAATACCTGTAGGTATGTAGATATATACACGTTCTGATTATTACAGAGGCCAATTGATTTTAGATTAAAAATTAATTAAAAAATCATTAAATTGCGAAGTTTATGTAACAGAGATGTGTTTGGCAGTGGAATCCAAAAGAAAAGAAAAGGAAATACGAATTTATAGAATTAAAAAATAATCAAATAAAACGTGGTTTTTAAATTTATTTTGATCAAACAATTACAGTAAGTAGAAAGTTTGATTAATTCTAAAATTTACTTTATAATAAAAGTATTTTGTGAAAAGTTAAATTTTATGACAAGATAAAGAGAGTATGGCTAAGACAAAGAATAGTCTTATACTGATATATCACACATTAGTTAATTAAGCACGTCAGTACTTGCCTTTTCTTTTAAGCTTGATCATACAAGATTAAAAAAGTCCGTTTAAACTAATACTAAACGTGCTCATACAATTGATAACTTTTATAATTCGATAAGATAAATATCTTTACTACTTTACAAAGTAAAGCGCAATTATTAAAAAACTTTGTATTATCTCTGAAATATATCTATTTTTCTATATAAAATGATATAAATGTATGTGATTTCAGGAAGTTTATTAGTTTATTAAAATTTTAAAATTTATATTATTTATTTGTTTATATTTTATATTATTATTTATTTATTTATCTGTTATTTTAAAATAAGCTTTTATTGTTTCTAGACGTTTTAAAATTCTAATATAATAAAAATGCAAGTTACATTATAAAGTTTAAATAATATCAATATCTTGAAGCTATTATGTTTTGAATTGTCTTCGAATAGTTATTAAAAATAACTTTTTATGTTAATTAAGAATGAATTTACTTTAAGAATAATTGCATTTTTTTTTAATCGAACAATTGCTTATAGCTCGGAAAATATATAATCTACTATCGAGAAAAACTATAATTTATGATGTCGTTCAGTATAATCTACCGAGAAACACTCTTCCATAGTTGTCATTAAGATTAATTACCGCACGAACTGATGCTTTATTCATTTTCAATGTCACCTTTATGAAGTGCTGACATTGAAATGATTATTTCTACCTCTTTCAGTTCCGTCATATAAATTTCATGGTTGAATTATATTCTGCAAAGAATGTCAGATAATAAATGTTCAAACATTGTTTTGAAAAAATCTTAAATTATATTTTAATTTTTAAATCATCATTATTTATTAAAGTCGATTCAGACAGAAAATTGTTAATTCGAAATTGTTAGAAATTTCGAATGTTTAGTTTCGTTATTTTATTACTTTTAGTACAGAAATATCAAAGTTTTAGAGAGAAAATACCCGTATCTTCCATTAAATCCTGCCATAAAAAAATCTATTCAATGACCATTCGGTGGTAAAATAACAGTGTAACTTTTTTCTTTATTTATTGTTTATAAACACTGGTAATGATCCTGTCAAACTCAACAGTTTTTAGAACGAATGATTCTAGATTTATGAAGATAATTAATTTTTAATATATTGATAAATGTATTTTTTCTAATAGTTAATTATGAAATTGTGTGAATATATGAATATTTTCTCCGTTCTTTTTTGTAATGTTAATTTTATTTATTGTCCCTTCATAAAATTAGTTTGTCCCTTCATTAAAAATTTATTGTCCCTTCATTAAAAATAATAAATTAGTTTTATTTCGGCATAAACACTTATTAATCTCGAATTCTGTCCTTAGTCATTTTAAGCAAAGAAAATGAAATCTCTTAATATTTTTAATTTACAAGGCAAGAAAGATATAACATTGTCTATACTGTCATAAAAAAAAAAAATGTTGTTTGCATTCTTCTATAGGTCCTCCAGAACCTGTCCGAAACTGCTCTGTTGCTAATGTCACTAGTGAATCTCTACTGGTGGATTGTGACAAGGGTCATAACGGAGGACTGAAACAATACTTTTATATGGAAGTCTACAATTCTGCAGCCGAGAGACTAGAGGGCAATGTCACTAATCTAGAAGTACCAACGTTTCATATCTCCAACCTTCCATCTGCCACGGCTTTCATTTTAGTGATTTATGCCGCCAATGCTAAAGGGAGTAGTGACTCGACTACGTTAAGAACCAAAACTCTGGTTGCTTCGCAGAATAATTCGGGTTAGTTTCAAGCATTTTCATGCATAATTATTCCTTATTAGTAAAATTTTGCAATTGTTTTAGTTACATTATATTTTAATTATATTATTCTAGTTATATTTTGTTTAATTAAAATCGGATTTATATTATAAAGAATTTTTCAAATTTTTTGTCGATGTTTTACAAGCATATAATAAATTAATTAAGAAAATTTTCGTCTGTCTCGATCTTCCATTCAGGAAACCTGAATACGACGGTAGTAAATCCTTTATTGGGAGTTTTAATCTGTGTGGTAGCAGCTTTAGTAATGGTTCCCGGTATTGCCATGGTTATAATTAGAATGCGTGGCACCGATGAAGATAAAGGTTTTTGTTTGAAATTTTACGATATTTTAAATGTAATGTGCATCAGAATTGTAAACTTAATTAATTATTTAGGGCATCCCGATGAAACTTCGATGGAAAAGTAAGTTAGCCTTTTTTAATGTTACCAAATAATACAAAAATATGAACACTTATAGTTAAATAATAATAAATTAATGAATTATAATTAATCGTTTAATGCAATCAAAGATCCCATATGCATACAGACAAACGTTACACAGCTTGTATCGTCAATATTAAGGGGCTTAGAAGTGACTTTCTTTTGGAGCTAGGGCAGAAACTCTGTTGAAAAAGAATCCGGAAGACTATCCAGACAATGATGCGAAAGATCCTGATCTAATTCCTCCAAAATCAAACTATTTCGGTGAGTATTTTATTTAATATTTTACAAATATATTTATTTAATTAATAAATTATCACTTAAATTCCTTTACCATAATTTCAGACTATCCGTCCGAAGAAAGAGAATGGTACTCATTTAGAAGAAGTAAAGCCACAGACAAAATCTATGACAACCACATACCAGGCTCGCATCTTTTATATGACAGCGGAGGACCAAGTACAGCTCCTTGTCAAACTTCGATCAAGGTTAGTCTCATAAACATGTCAAGCAATAAAAATTACTTTAGTAATTAAATAATAAAAATATGTTTGTCATCGAACAAACTTGTTATGTAACAACAAACTTGTAAATGGTTATGTGACACGATTCTAAAACTTCCAATAAAGATTTAACAGAGATTGTGCGAGTCATGTGCACCCGATTCTCAGGAGAGAGCTGCTCTGTCGCATGCAACTGTTATAATGTTTCTAAATCAGCAGGAAAGTTTCTTGACACGCTAAATAATCATGCAAATCACTTAAAGAGGTACAGTTGTTTGTTATGTACAAATAAGTTGAATACAAATTGCGTGTAAAGTGATCTTTAACGTGCTTATTTGACAAATGTTTGAGGGATAAAATGAAACAATACAAAATAAACATTACGTGTTATCAAGTGTAAAGCTAATGAAAGTTAATCTTTAAAATTAATTTGCAAATTTGATGGTTTTTTTTGCTTTAACGTATAACATTGTTCTTTTGTTTAAGGAAAATATAAAATATTCAGATCTCGGACCACCTCAGGAGATTTCGGCGTCAGCTTTACGGCATCGAGAAGCTCCTGTATATTATACAGAATGGGAAAGTCAGAGGCGACCATCACCTAGGGGAAGAGACAGAATGGAAGCTTATGACGAACATTTGGGGACTCCCTTGATGACACGCGTATTTCGGAGTTCCGAAGTAAGACCTGAAAATCTCACTTTGACATTTGCAGTTATAAATGTTCTCTTTCTTTAGCTTAACTTTATATGGCTTCTTTTCAGATAAATTATCTGCCTTCCAACGAGAGGCGAACTTTGTCAACACCGGTTTGAGATGCAAACAACGACGACAATGAACAGACTTATCCAAAGACTAGTGTAATCGTGTGTTAATCATCATTTGCGAGTGGATCGTAAACTATAATCATCCACTGACTCCATAACAGAATGTGTGCGATTACAGGTTCTTGATTGGATATATTAACATTGTACATAGGATTGAACGTCTGAGATTTAAATATTGTAATTTAGTATATTTTAAATTAGTCGATCATTCGTCTGATGGGATGTTTTAATTTTTCAAACTCGATTCGTATAACGTGCCAAACCAAATATTTCAGTTATTTTCACTAAACACGTAAAAAATATTTTAAAATTCTCAATTCCACTGGAGCAATATAGAGGGAAAAAAAGTAAATTTATTCCTGTTAGAACATCTTGTAGATAGTTTTCAACAAAACATACATAAATTAAATTCAACCAAAATTATTTCTATATAAATTTGCTTCTTGCACAAAAATAATTATTTCAACTCTTTGTGATTTAGTAGCTTTTTCAATCGATACTTAAATGGTCAAATTTGACTAATATATAGGAATGTTATAGAATTTGTTGATGTGGATAAAATCCAATTTGATTTTCATCACTGAACTTGTAGGGATTCGTTTATCAAAAGAAAAAAATAACAAAAAATACAGGTAAGGATCCGAAGGTTACTTTCATTTAAGGCCGTTTAAATCTCGCACATTTTGAGAAAACATTGTTTAGATGAAAAAAATGTATAATATCGAAAATTAATATTGATAGAAACTAACACGATACTTTTACACTTTTACATATAACAACACACAACTGGGTAGAATCGATTGTGCACACGAAAATTCATTGTTATGACTTCTATACATAAAAATACAATATATATACTGTATATATACATACATATATATATTTAATCATGTTTTCACACATGTGTAAAAAGTGAAAATACAAACTTAATTTCTTTTTAAGCTAATAAAAATTACAGCTTTTATTCTTAGCAAATTTACTATTTAATGATGGTTAATGAAAGATGTATTGTGATTTGAAAGAATATTGTGTACGTATATAGAAATGGAATTATTAAATACGCAGGATTTGTTGAGTTTTTATGATTATAAAATTTGCTATTGATTCGTCTTCGTCTCTTCAGTTTCTTTCCGTGTGCCGTTTACCTATCGATTTATAAATACAGAAAAAAAATTCAAGTAAATTTCTTTACAGATAATCTTGAATAATTTTTTTCTAACACGAAGATAAAATTTCTTTATTAATGAATTTTTCTTGTTAATTGCCTTTTTTAACGTTGAATTTTCTCAGCGACTTTATAAAAAAGGATATAAAAAATTTGCATGCTTGGAAGTGAAATACATATCACACTGTTGAAATATTGCGACATAATGCGGGTAAGGCGAACATTATCAATATACGTCAATATGACACCAGGTACGTCGTGCGGAGAAAAGTTGAGTTGGCGTCATATCGACACAACTATAAAGAGTGTTCTAGTCATAAAAAGGTTTTTTCTAAACCCAGAAAGATTTCTCAAACAAATCAACAGAAATCTCGTCTAGTAGAGAGCTGTTTATCTCGGGTGTGTGAATGCATACACAAGTGAAGATGGGTGTGTGAAAAATGGTTTTCCTATTCCTCACCTACAGCCGGAATATATTAAAACATTTATATTTTAAAACTATACGAAAAAATTAAATTCATGTAAAAATAAAAACTGTTCTTCATATTTTTCTGACATATTTAAACAATTTCTACATCAAAAGTTTTATCGTGTTTTTTGGTAAAAACTTTTCCAATAAAATTGTCAGAAAAGTCGCTTGGATACAAAAGAATTATGAATAGTATCCTTATCTGAACCACTGATAATAATACTTCTAAATTCTGAAAGAAGATAACGGATTTTAAAGTCGATAAACAGAAGTAGAATCTGAAGTCGCTCGATAAATATTTTAACCCACTAACAAGATGATGAAAACAATCAATAATTAGTGTTACTTATTAAAGAAAACATTATTAATTAAATATAATGATCATGTTTAATTATTGGAGTGAACGTGTCTTTCCCAGATAGGAAACTTCGATAGCAAACTCACTTATTTTTTCTCGATAATATCGTTTATTAAAATGATTTATTGCCAAAATATTAAATAAAAATTTTTCTGATAACCTTTGCTAGCTAATTTTACTTTCGTGTAAAATTTCTTTCCAGATAAATTTTAAAATACATTTTTAAAACTTTCTAATATATTATATATATTTATCGTAAATCTGACTTGATTATACGATATATTATTCAAAATTTACTTATGAAAAAAGTATATCCGCCATTTCTGTTTTTATTAACTGAAGAAAATCTACACGAAGTAGGGAAAAGATCCATTCGGAAAGGAGTCGAGTCACGAAAACAATTAACGGGTTATACTTAATGAATGTCTTAAATTTAAATATTAAGTAGCTTGGATTTCTCACTCGTATAATTTTCTTCTCATTTGTATTTAATGAAATTATAATATCTTTCTTTGTTAAATAACCAAATGCTATTAATTAACAAAAACTTAATATTAAAACTTCACGCTAAGAAGGTAGATAAATTAGTGTTTATTCTTCAAATGTTGAAAGAAGCTTTTAAAAATAAATAAAAAAAAGATTCTCCTGATCAATAGGTCTACAAAGGAAGCTTGACTGATGCTTAATTCGGTATACTATCGTATGACAAACATGGGTCCTTACTGACAAAAAAAAAAATTTAACTTTCGACATGATCATAATTTACGAGCGTTCACGTCGAACAATATAAATTAATATCGTTCCTAGTTAATCCCGATCGAATAAAAGTTTAAAATATTATCTTAAAGTAGAATATTAATAATTCATAGCTTTAATTAGAGAATTTATAAATGTTATTTTTTTCTTTATTTTCTGAAAATTAACGATATAGATTATATCTTAATTCAACAAATTTGATGGCAATTTTTTTTATTCGATTCTTATTAAAGTGAAGGTATTTTTAAAAAATGTAGTATGCTTTACATCTCGTTTATTAAGCGGGACAATGCTTTTCACTTTCTTCTTCTTAAACCAATTAACTTCCCAGCACCAGGAATTGATTTACAATAAATTTTCTTAATCTCAGTTGCACGTCTCTATTTAAAAAAATCAAACGAGGTAGATTTTACTGTAAATTAAAATATGCACAATAGACGAGTAAACATAGTCGAACGACTTTCAGATCAGATGAGAATTTTCTAAGCGAACAATAAATAATTAAGGTATAGAACTAAATGCGTTTTTATCTGTCTCGTGCTTAATAATTAAAGGCGATCTATAAATATTTATTATCTTTACTGAAATTGTGTACTAGACAATATTTTTTCTATTTAAATTTTATTATTCTATAAAATTTTAATAATTTATTATAATTATCTGTCAATTAGCGCGATCATAAAATTCATTAGTTGATCGACCTAGCATTTATTTGCTTACAAAACAATCTTTAATGCATCAAGGACTTTATTTAGTATCATGCATAAAATGATTAATTTTCCTGTCATCGAAGATGGTCTAAAGTACGTATTATCGCTAGTTCAATCCGGCAATGGCATATTAATGAGTTGAGTCGTCCTGTGCTTCACAAGAAGGCACATGCACTCTGTCGAGTGTGTCGTAAAAGTTATCAATTGTTGTGCTACTATAATCAAGCATCTGTATGATTAGTTAGCTGAAATAATTTACTAAGTTTAGTTTGGCAAACTTTGAAAATATTTTCTTCTGTCCAACTTGAAATTTATAACTCGCTTTAAATGCATAACGCTCGATTTTTTTCATCCTTGGCTACGTAACCGTATGATATAGATGAACTAGAAACTGTTAATAATTTTCTAACTTTTAATTAATATATCATCGCCTTAATATTAAAAATGTTTTAATATCCACTCGACCCTTATGTACGTACGCTAATCCTTTAAGAAAAAAGAAAAACATTTTCAAACTGATTTTACTTTCATAAATTTTGATTAACATTCTACGTCAGAAACGATCAAATAAATTTTATAAATTTTATTTTCAATAAGTACATTTAGATATTATTGCATAATTTTTTTTATAAATTTGCTTATCTAACCATGTTTACTTTTAAAGAAGACCTATAAAATTCTTCTTTCTTATTCAAATATGTGTATAGTATCAACATATTCTTCATTTACATACTCTCTTATCAAGAGAAGTTCCATAATATAAACATGTTTATAAATGTAGAGACAAATGCATCCATAATATAACGATGTCTTGAATGTGAAATCTTCCCTCAGGCCATGTTTTTCTATTCTTTTCTACGACTGCAACAGACATGCTGTGTTTATGTATTGATGGATGGCGTTGACGCCTAAAATTTATTCAATTATTCGCAAATAAGAGTATTTATGAAAGTTTTCTTATTACAGGTAATAAGTTGTGATATAAAGATTTTATACAGATTTATACAATGGATTTTGTTGGAATGCGAGTTCTTGGAAGTGTGACTAAATGGATCTTTATCGAACTTCCTTTTTCATGTAAGATTCGTTGCATAATTAAAATTTCTTTTAAATAAACAAAGAAACCTTAACGCTTTTCATTTTCCGTATCAAAACAAAACTATTAAATACAGTTAATGAGTTCTCCGATAACTTTATTATCGTTCGAAGGAACAAAATGACAAAACTTTAGTCTATTGTCTTTAAACTTGTTGTTCCTCATAAACAGTAACTAATAAGAAGATTGTCGATTTAAAAATTTTTAGCTTCTAATTAATCATTTTAAAAATTCCAAGCTCTAATCTAGATATAAATTATGCCATTAATGGTAATCGATAATTACTTTTAGAAAAACACATTTTTATTGATAGAAGGTTTGTTTATTAAATTTTTTCTCAATTTTTAAACTATTTTTCTTTCTGAAAATTATTTTAATTAAGTGGACAACAAATTACAACAAAGCAATTATTCATACTTACTTATTTTACTTAATTATAACTTTATTAATGCATATTAAATGAATTTTTTCGTTCTTCTTTAAGCTGTTTTGATGAAACTTATTTGCATTAAATCTGTAGATTTTAGTACAATCGTTCCAATCTTTTGATTAAACGGAACAGGTGTAGGAGGCATAGCAATAACTCGGTTTATCCTTCGCAATGAAGCCAAGCACTTCACTTAATTGTAGTTGACGCATTACAATGTTGAGTAAATGAATTCAAAGTCATGATCTTAAACATTATCCTCCAGTCCAACAGTAATTCGTTAAACAGCAAATATTATTGCTCGTTCATTAATACACACTTTAGTTGCATTTTCATTGGCTTTTTTCTGTAATTTATTTTATTTAAAATAAAATAATACTAATTTAAATATATTCATTGATTTTTGCAAATAATTATTACATAACATTGTAAAATAACATTCTAATTAAAAATATTTATTAAAGTTACCTTCATATTTGATTATTAATTCTTACCATTCTGTTTAAAATGTATATATAAAAAAATTTAAATAAAACAAATTAGTATTGTACAGAATGTAACTTTACAATCTGCCCATTATTTTTATCGATTTTTTATAGAATCAAGTAGACGCTTTTTCAAATTATTGATTTTATTGATTTATTTACGATTCTTTGTTAAAATAGTGCGTTTTGACATTTCTGATCTGGGTGACTATTCAACTTTATTAATGAGTTATTCCTTCTCCTTTTTTAGTGTTTTTTTAACAGACTTATACATTACGTAAATATTTAAAGAATGTGGAGCTATTGTGACTGTGATATCCGAATTGTAAAAATTGCAGTTAGGACTGTCGAGAGGGAGAGCTGGGAAGTTTTTCTCAGGTAATGGTTCCTACCCCAATAAATTAATATTATTTTACTAAGAAAAAATACAATATTTAAGACTGAATTTTATTAATAAGAAAACATTCGACGTATTTTATTTGATAAAGAAAAAAGAAGAACTGGCAAAAGGGGCCCATCTACTCCAGGCCTCTTGCAGGCACTCGACGGTTCTAATTGCACTGTTGTCTGTCTCAAGAAAATGTATAGAAAACTTATGATTGATTATCGATTTTTGCTTATTTTACGGCT